GGACAGACATACACTCATAACTGGATTGGAATATTTCTCCTTTACACATGTTTACGTACTTTTAAAAACATATTTCGACTACATCATTCCGTAGTAGGTCAATTGTTCATTATCTTCAAGAAAAAAACACCAACTATTCCAGAGGTGGTCCAAAATGGAGTTGCGAATTCCTCCCCTCAAAACATAAAGAGTACTAAATATTCAGGACTCAGTCATTATAAACTTGTTATTAGTGCCGACGTTTCAACCCAAACATGTGGATCATCGACAGGGCGTGGTTCGAGCACTGAAGGTGTTCAAGTACTCAGTATTCAGTACGATATATAGAACAGTCGAATAACTTCCTTCAATAATTCATAAAGAGTACTGTTGTGAGGAAATAAGATAGCTTTGGGATGGTAAAGAAAATCCATGAGAATACAAAATAATTGAAAAATAATTAATAAAAAAATTTTGTTCATATAAAATTAGAGAGAAACACAGTAATTGTTTATAAATTGTTTCGTTCAAATAACTAGAAACCATTAAAAATATATAATTTTTTTTTAATTCAAAACTAATTTCAATTAATATTTTGCGATTAGTTGTCTAGTTCAGAAAAATAAATTTCCTATAAAAGGTGTAGTACATTTTGTGTTAAAAAATGTTAATGATACGTCACCTGAATAAACAGATAATTAACTAAAAACAAACAAATAAACTTTTTTTTGCAATTTTTTAAAAATTTAGTTATTCTTAATGGTCTATAGTTATTCCTGTTCGATTTAAAAAAAAAATTTGTTTCCTTACTAAAATGTTAAATAATCATAATCTGTTTAAGATTGAGTTTTACCATTTTTTAGCTACATCGATTTAGAAACGATATATTTAGAATAAACCAGAAAAAAATAGGAACTTTCAGTTTTCAGAGCTATATGATGAACTCACATGTCTTTCTTCAATACCGAAAATGTAGATTACTTATATTCACCATACTCCAAACGATATAAAAAATAAATTTGAATTCCCCATCTTGTGCTTATTTGACTGGTGTGTGAGGTTCATTTTAATTTTCAAATAGAATTTCATGAAATCAATACCATAAGATTTGTACACTTTCTTAAAATTATTTCCGAATTCGGGGCCAATCTAACGAGTCGTTTTAGAAATATTCGTTGCTTTTTTATTTTTAAGTATTTATTGGATTAGATAAAATCGACAGCTATTCGATCATTCTTCATCAATCACCAACTTTCTAAAATAAGTGGGGCATCCGCAAGCAAAAGTAGTTGGTGATCTTGATATGAGATCATGTAGCTATCGACTTGGAGTATCTCTTACAATGTCATCAAAATTGGATTAACGAAGCAGGGTATACATACCACGTAGGTTTGACTAAAGATGGACGCGGAACCAAGTATATTCTTATATAGTTTTAAACTTCTTTTCTAAGCCATAAAATTTATTTTCAATCTATTTTGATAAGATAAATGTTTGGAAGCAATCAACAATCGATTTATTAAATATTCTCAAGTTTATTTATATTACACGTAATTGTAACATTCCATTGTAAGATAAATCATAAGATCAACAGCTTTGAATGAATTAGCTCGATATTATTCTTGCCGAAAACTTCGACTATCTAAGGATGTTGCTCGAAGTTAATCACAAACTTCAATGCTACAGAAGTTGACTTGGAGTTTCCAATATCAGATGAATGGTATAATGAATAAAATACGGTTACCTAGACTCCACTTCTAAACTCTCAGAAATTATTAACACGATCAACGAATAATCAATCTGAAATCTAACTACTGTCGAATCAAAGTAACCTTCATTTGTATTCTAATATAAGCATATTATTAAGAAAAATTTAATCAGATAATCATTCAAGGAATATAAGGCACTTATGGAATAAGCTTAGAAGTTAGCAAAATCTGCATCTCAATACAGTTCGCGACAAGAGAATATAAAGCAGCTCCATTATCTTATAATGAAAAGCCTATAATGGCTGGCATTAACTACGAATCAAATGTAAATTTACGAAATGAAGACCTGTAAATTTATTAAATACATTGTAATGTCTGAAGTCTCGTGACAGTTATCGCTATAGTGCAATGGCACAACTACAGTGTAAACCATTGTAAAGTATGAGACTTGCTGTCTTGGCCGTAACTGTCGAACTATCAGATAGTTGAAGGCGGCGATAATGTTACTAATCTTACCTATTAGCTTATTCTTTAAATTGATATTGATTCTATCAAAAGCTTATGGTTGTTCGATTCGTGAATAAAGTAATGAAATTATCAAATGTCATTTAACAAATGAATTTACCAACTGTGTATTTAATAGTAGTAATCAAAACTGAATGTATGAAATTAAATATACACTATGGCAACCTAGCAAAATCTACCACTATCCGAGTCATTGTTTATGGAGAACATCCATGAGTTTTCAGTGTTCAATATTTTGTTTGAATTAATCCAAAATATAGAAAAAAAAGATAGATAATGGGAGAGAAATGAGAGAAAGGGAAAATAAATGTTTAAAAAATATATAAAAAAAAGGATATACAAAAAAAAAAAATAATAATACATATACATATTGAATGGCTGAAAGCTGGAAAGATATTCTCCGAAACAGAAGGATTTCTACTCGCCATCCAAGACCAAGTTATTGCTACTAGATCATATAGAAGGCATATTCTTAAAGACGCAACAACTACGGATAAATGTCGGTTATGCTCAGCGACGCTGGAATCAATCAAACATGTCACAGGTGGGTGTGGAGTGTTGGCTGGCACCGAGTATCTCCAGAGGCATAACAATGTGGCTAGAATTTTTCATCAGGCTCTGGCGGTGAAGTTCAACTTGATAGATGACAAAACTCCATATTATAAGTACCACCAAAATAAACTACTCCAAAAAGGTAGTCTCAAGCTCTACTGGGATGAATCGATTATAACTGACCATACTGTGCGTCACAATAAACCAGACATCCTTCTAATAGACATGAGAGAGAAAAGAGCAGAGCTTATTGATGTCGGGATCCCCAATGATAATAATATAAGCTCCACTGTTGGAGAAAAAATGAGAAAATACCAGGAATTGGCAATCGAACTGAAGGAATTATATCATTTGGGGAACGTCACCACCACTCCAATTATAATATCCTCCAATGGATTGATACCAAAGACAACAGTAGCAGGCACGATGGGATTAAAATTACCTCTTGAAGTGCTGAAAGAGGCTCAACACTCAGTTCTCTTGGAAACGGCACGTATTGTTCGAAAGTTTTTAAATATCTAAAAAGTAATAGATATTAATCTGAAGTGGCTGGACTTCTGGTCACCCACCTCAGAAACTTACCCCGCAAAGCGAGAATAAAGAATGGAAATAATAATAATAATAATAATAATATATGAAAAAGATATATATATATAAAGATATAAATATTGTTAATCCTATACAATTATATATTACTTTAAAAATTGTCTGTAGTGATTAATAAGTATGCTGTGTTTTTAGCAACCCAATGTAATTGGACAGCACCATTTTATGATAATTAAGTGATTCCTTTTCTCATAACGACGAAACTGCTCTCAGGAACTTATACTAAATGCATTTACTGGTTATATACTTTTATTTATTTATTTTATCCAAGTTCAAGTATTAGAATAGACCCGATAGTTCTGCTTATAAATAACTATTTAAATGTCAGAAAGCTATTTCAAGAATATTACGGATTCTTCACGGGTAAAACTGATTTGCGACCATCTAGACACCGACACGCACTTTCCCGAAAAATTTCAAGAAAATTGGATAAACAATAGTAGATGATATGCCCGCCACATCGATTTGATTACAGACAGATAGACACTGAACCAAATTTGATCCTTGATGTCTCAAACGCAAAACATGAGTAGAAATTTTCGATTGCAAACACCCTTTTTTTAATCTCCCCGAAAATATAGGAAAAACATATAAGCATATGTAATAATGAAAGATTAATAAGTAAATGAGATAGATTGTCAGTATGGAAAAACTTTTGAGATATATGCAAAATAATTTCTATTTGCTTCTTCAATTCCGATGGTCTAAATTTACAAAATACAAATCTTAATTCGTGTGAAGTAAAAAATGTTTTGTACTCAGAATCAGAAACTTCTACTCTTGCGTTTTAGGTGTCTGTCTGTCAGTAGTAAAATCGATAATATGAGCACATAACCAAATACTGTTAGTCTGATATTCATGATTTTTTTAAGAATTTTGCGGGTTGGTGCCTAGAAGGTCCCATATAAATTTCGTCAATATACATACAGTAATTTCGCTTGCGTATACACAAAAGTATTTTCTTAGATATGCCAATATTTCAAAAAAGGCTCCTTCGATTTAGTTTAAAATTGAGTAAAAAAATGGGTATTATTTATTGAATTCTATCCTTTACATTCTCTTAAATATGGGCAAACGTGTGTTTCTTAATACGCATTTTTCTCAAAAACGAAGCCATATTGGAGTAGCGATTCGGAGCTAGTGTAGGTAATCTGTTAACTGGTGCTAATTTACTGTCATTTTTTTTGTTTTAGATTTTGTGTAATTGTATATCGAATGTGGCCATATGAATTAATCTGTAATCATAAAATTTAAAATGTCAAAAAACAAACGGAATGATATTGTGTTGTCATTATAATACTAGCCGAAGTCATCCTGAATCATTTTTAAATGAACCAAAGTTAAAATTTTTCTTTTTTGGAGCTGTTTTTATATAGGACCGCTTGTAACCAAACCAAAAAAACAACTTCAAATTAACAGCTGTAGAAACTTTTCTATAAAGAATGACCAGACAAAAATGTATAGAAATGACATTAATTTTGTCTTCACTTTTTTATTTAAATCAAACCGTATTTTAAATTTTTTGTTCAAGGAAAGTTTATTTTGTAATATGCATATATACATTTTTTAATATTATACGTGTCTTATGATATTTAACTACGATATAATATATAAAAAACAAAATCCATATGTCCATTTTTTTTCCTTGTCGTAGGAGTAAATCTATATATTTCTAATATAATTTATATTTTCTTTAAAAAACTGTAAATTAAAATTATATGAATTTTCATTCGAAGTTGTTGTAAACATATGCTCACATTTAACTCAGTTCAGACAATAACAAGTGACGTAATTTTACTTTTCAAAAATAAATTGCAAGGTACCTCTTTATATTTGCATCTCGGTTGGTACGGAAATGTAAACAAATGGATTCTTCATCAAATGCACCTAGAAAACGAAAAACTCCTCCGTTTTTCAACCTCCTGAAAGTTTTGAGGCGAAAATATCCCAACTTGTCATGTACAGAGGTGATTATTTAACGTTTGTTATTAATACATACTCATACACATAAGCCGATAGGATTTAAACATAGATTTTACAGGACCTCATATTAAAATTTAATAAATTTAATTGTTTATTTGTTAAATTTATTATTCATAACAATTTAAACATAAAATAACCGCAAAAAAGTATCCATCCTAGGAATTTAATTTTTTTTTATCTTTTTCCCACCACTCCATTAATGTGTTTAGGCATTTCACAAACTATGTGAAACTTTTTTTTTATCAGTAATACTGATGAACTGAGTAGACGAATCTGCATTTTTATCCTTCTCAACTAAAAGGAATAGCCCGCAATTGTATGGTGTATTATCTTTGGCTAAGGATTTAAGGCATATTTTTACAAATTAACACATGTCTAAAATAATACTTGATTAAAGTTAAATATTTAAAAATTTAATTATTATTCGATTTTAATTTATTAACTTTATATGGAATAAAATCTAGGAGTCTCTTATTTCTCAGGTATACATTAAAATATAATTCATCAAAAGCTTTGTTCGTAGTTTGTTTCGAATGAAAATGAAAAATAAATTAATTTTATTGAACCATTTTTGAGAAAAAAAAAAAAAAATATTTACAGTGCATTTTTTTACAATTTCTTCCTCGAGAATGCTGTATCTCTTTCTCTCCAAAACAAGACCCAATCAAAATTTATTTTTTCCTAAAGTGGGAAAAATTATTTTAAAAACCACTGATTTTCGGTTAGATGCTACTAATAAGGATCAGAGTAGCTCAGTGAGTTAGGCACTGGACTTCTATGCTCTCGGGATCGAATCTGGCTGATTTCTAATTATATCGGCTGTATATCGGTCAGATATCAAATGACAAAATAATGAGAACAGAAAATAATGAAACGTATCATGAGATAGAGAAATCAATTGTTATTTTTTCGGTAATTACAATCGACCTAGAAAGTGAAAAAAAAAAAATTTATTTTGAAAACTTCATCTGCACCCGTCATAATAGTGACAATTAGCAGATTTGTTGTTACAGTAAAAAATGGCATGATGATATTAATGAAAATTAATTCAAAACTTCTTTCATGTTTTAAACCAATACACGTTTACAAATTTCAATAATCTGTATCTTTGCTAATAGTATGCAATGATTTTTATTTTCCTCTTAAAGGAAATCTAGTCATTTTTTAAAATAATTATGGTTGTGATCTACAAAAAAAGTGTTCAGTGAGTTATTTGCAAATAGTTTCTTTTACTCCATAACTAGTTGAATTTTTGGGGTGATGTGAGTATTTTTACAATTGAAGAAGCAAATCTTCAAAATAATGGCTAAATCTTTTGACTTGATGACATGTTCCATAAGGTTATTTGGCTGTGAACCCTTTGCCTTACATTATTTCAAAACTGGTACATTTTGTGGATTTCAAGCGAAGGCCTAGGTAGTTTCAAAGGTAGTTAAAATCATAAATTCAGATAATTTAAATACGTAATTTCAATTGAACCAAACCGGAATTATTAAAATTGAAAACATTGTAATTTAAACGGTAATCATACTGTATTACTAAAAAGTTAATTGTACATCACTCTACTAAGATTTATACTCTCTAATAAGAAAATGAAATAAAATTAACATTCACATTTAAATCGTACCGTAAGGTTTGCATGTATTTTTTTAAAATAAATGGTTATTACTGAATATTATTAAATACTCATAAGCATTAAATACACTTAATTAAATAAATACAACAAAAAAATTATAGAAATCTGATACTGGCATTTTACTTTCCATATCACGATAATATCGAATCTTTTGTTTCTATACGATATTGGATGATATAGAAAGGAAAATATCGATATATACCGATATCGTTATAATCGCAGCATCCTTAGCCATGCCATAACCTTTCCAGAAGTCAATTAATGATTACTTTGATAACTGATAAGCTTCATAACCTTTCCATTTGTCAGAAATGTTTGAGGTCCCAGCGGCAATTATTATCGTGTCGTTGCAATTACGAAATATAGGACAGGTGGGATATATATTTTTTTTATAGGAACCTCTATATTAGAAAATTAAAAGCTAAGATTCTATTATTAATGTGTCAACAAATGTTTTTCTTCTACCTATTTTTACATTCACATACCTATATATGTAATATATAGTACGGGAAAATATTGCGATCGTGAAAATTATCGATTCTGTTTTCAACGAAAATAACACGTATTGAGGTATCCTGAGTCCAAATAACCAAGTCACCCAAAATCGTATGTGTGTGTGTATGTGAACAGTAAACCTAAAAAACGAAAAGTCATACGAAACTGATATTACTTATTTAAGATAGGTATATGCCTTAGATGTGACAGCTACTTTTTCCTTAAAATTGGCTAACCGAAAGTGTCACTTTATATCATCAACACATTTTTACAATTATATCGAAAACCTGCTCCAACGATTTTGATTAACCTCGGTGAATCATTGTATAATTAAGTGGTATTTAATATAATTTAGGTATTATCCCCATTGATATCAATTTGCAGGGCTTAAATGCCCAATGTTCATATACGTCCTCCTCTAAAGCACCTTTAATTTTTTTATATCAAATTTAAATAAGTATTTAAAAAACTAAATCTCTTTTATTGACATTAACTAAAAAAAAAATGGCTAAATATGAAATTAGAAAGAATATGATAATTGAAAACTGGAGAAAAAAAAAATGCTTATCCAGGTGGCAAATGAATCTCTGGAAATAACAGCCAGAAGGTATACGTATGATATATCGTTGGAAAGCGGAGAATTTTAGAAACAAACATAATATCAAATAAATAAAGTTGTAGAAAGTAACGGAGAGTGAGGATAAAAATATAAATAAAAATTTCAGAAAACTAACATTAGTTATTAACGTAAATCACATGTTTCCTACGAAATTTTCCAATTTCAACATTTGTAGTAATATCATTTCAGTGATATTTCTAGTTGGAAAAGTTATGTCTATACAGCCAGTGAGTAAGTTTATTCCACAGTAGGCGATTGCAGTGTTGAAATATAGAACTGTGAATAAAGGTATACATTTTGCCACTAGAAACATCCCTAAAATTAATAATAAAGAATGTTGAGTTAGTCATTCTGTCAACTGAAAGGCTCATTTATGATTTCGGATACCTATAAATGATTATGAATTATAAGTTACCAAACTGTTATTTTCTATTGTAAAGTTTACCAAAATGAAATTACGAAACTTTCATTGTCAGGTCAAAAGTTGTCATACTAATTGTAAGAGGATAATGTTGGGATTTCACAAAGGGAAAATTCATCAAATTATTCACTAATTTAATTTTTCAAAAGGTTACTTGAATTTTTTGGAATAAACCGCCAATAGATAACTAATTACTTAAATATAATATCATGTCTAAAGGTATTAAACTATAGCAAATGTATGTGAGGTTATAAACATATCCATGAAATATTTTTATGTTTCACACAAGTACAATATAATAGTCTTTTAAACAATGGCATTGGCTTGACTAAGTTGATTTTAAATACGTTTTTTCAAGCTTAGGAAAAAATTTAAGTTCACATTTAGTAAGAATATTTTATTTAATTTCCGTGGAAACATTTGATTTATGTTAAATAATGTTAGTTTTCTGAAATTATTATTTATATATTTTTGTCCCGCTCTGTTACCTTCTACAACTTTATTTATTTGAAATTATTTTTTTCTAAAATTCTTGCAACGATATATTATACGTATATCTTCTGACTGTTATTTCTGTTGATTCATATTCAACCTGGATAAGTATTTTCCTAATTTTTTTTTCTTCATTTTACAATTGTCATATTCTTTCAAACTTCATATTTTGAGATGGACACTGCCAGTAAAAGAGAGTTCATTTTTTAAATAAACCATATTAAAGGTACTTTAGAGGAAGACATGTTGAACATTTAAGCATTTAAGCCATGTAAAGTAACATGAATGGGGATAAGACCTCAATGGTGTTAAAGACCATTTAATTATACCATATGAATTATATTTATTAATACAGTTTAAATATCATGAATAAATAAAGATTTTTTTATAAAATCATACAATGATACACAGAGTTTAATCAAAATAGTTTGAGCCGTTTTTGAGAAAATTGTAAAAATGTGTTTCACCGTTGATCTAAGTCATATATCTATCTTCAATACGTGATATCAGTTGTGTAAGACTTTTCGTTTTTGAGCTAGACTGTTAACACATACTCAGACACACAGACCATTTTGCGGGACTTTGTTAAACGTGTATTTCTCATTGAAAACTCAGATTCGAAAAAAAAATACGATTGCAATACTTTTCCTTTATATATATATTACACACACACACACACACACACACACACATATATATATATATATATATATATATATATGGGTAAGTGAAAGTAAAAAAGGATTTGTACAGTGGACTATTGAGTACTTAAAACTTTGAGACGGGTTATCAAAACTGATTCATATGATATGCCATATGTCTAAAGTGAAAAAAAAAAATTATATTAATCACATATGGTACATAACATCTGCATGAACTAACCTTTAATCAAAAATCTAATTCTAAGTTTAATAAAATAAAATTATTGCACTATGAAAATTTTAAATTATAAAATACAAATATGAATCCTTATTAGATACAAAATGCCTAAAATGCCGTTCCATTAGAACAGAGGTTGTTAAACTAGCATCCACATTTTCATAAATGCATGTTCAGTGACTAATTTCGATAATACCTTCCTATTTTCGATTTCGGTCAAACATGTTATTGAATAAAAATCTTATAAGGTCTATACATTTTCTATTCTATGTTAATAAACTAATTAAGTGTTGAATATGGGATGTGACGAAATGTGGTGCGCAAAAACATACAATCTACATAGGTTTGAGAACCTCTGATTTAGGACATTAAACCTTTTTTTGTATCATTCATTATTCATAGATTTCACAATAATTAAAATAATTTTATACCTTCCATCGCCTCCTTCCAAGACAAATGTGCACAATAATTGTCCGAGAGTCATCTGGAGAACTGGAAAACCCTAAGAATGTTTTCCATTCTTTAAATGAGTTTGATTTCCAAACTTCTTTCGCTTCTTCAGATCATTCACAATAGCAGTCATATCTGAGGCTGCTACCTTGATAATTATCCATTTGTTCCAACTTTAGTATGAATTATTTTGTTCAACAGGGCCTCTATGATCTCGAAAGGTTATTATTACTTGTTTTTTTATGGTTCTTTTGTTTTTAGCTTCAATATAAATTTTAATTTTTTTTTCATTATCACATTTTTCTTCTTTTTTTCCGACTTGAAATCTAACGTGGAAGTTTCTAATATTTTCAATAATTTTAAAATATATGTACACTTAACATCCCTCCACTTATATTAGTGGCTTTGGGTTCAGAATTTGTTTAAACATATGTGATCAGTGATTTTTTAGCCACTCGGCCGTAAAACATAGTAACTAAGGTAATGAAGACGTCTAGACTGATCAACGTTTTTTTTTTTTTTTTGTTAATTATATTCTTACATTCAACGATCAGTTAATTCTTATAAATTTTAAATTAGTAACAACAATATTCTTTGACAAAAAAAATCTAGAGATTCTTTCAAAAACAATGAAATTAACAGTTTCTCGTTTCCAATGAGGTGCATATCGTTCATTAGTTTCACCACATTCATCGCGGTTTTCATACTTTAAAACTTTCTATAGGTGGTTTGGAGCTTTAGATCATTGCATAATATGTAAAGCAAAGTCGTTTTATAACATGTAAATTACAAAAATAAAACAAGGCTCATACTTTATACTTGTTTACATTTGGATTTATTCTAGTGGTTTTCTGCAGCTATCGCAAGTCATTATAAGGACATATATCAGTTGACACAGCGCTAAGAAAATAGTAATGGAATAATGCCATTTTTACTGAAGCTAGGAAATATACCCATTCATACGAAATTGTAATTGCATATGATAAATCCTTCGTAATGCTGCATATTTTGTCACAAATAATTCATAAATACCATTATGTTACATTTGTCGCTAAATAGATACTGAGCTTTGAAAATAAACCCAAGTCACATCTGAACCCACTTGTTTCCAGCCTTGTTTCTTTCTCGATTCCTAATTTCTTTCTAAATTCCTCTTCGGCCTTGATTGATAATTTGCTTAAAAATTAGACGAAATTGCTCCAGTTGATGTAAAGCATTCAAAAAATCCAAAACCACAACTAAAAAATTTATAGGCACTGAATAGAACATAGATGACATATATAGAACATCCTATCTTTATTGCACTTTGTCAGTGTATTTCTACGATTTTTTTTTTTTTTGTTTTATTAAAATTCGTAAACTTCTAAATAACCATATAACATTAAAAAAAAAAATTAATACTTCTTGAGTTATTCGAAAATATAACTTTACCACCCCTCGTAACTTTTTTTCCAGCTTCTTTCCGTTTAAGTACGTTATATAGATAAATTTAAAGTTCATCGAGAAGAAGACTTTAGTTTCATTGAAATGTTTACATTCATTTAGGCGGTACATCCTAGACCAACGGTTTTCGGCCTCCATTTTCGAAGGAATGGGCGGATAGTAATGTCTATCTATGTAAGGGGACCATCTTCGGGTGGACTTTAATTCCAAATTTGAAAAAAAAAAAATGGTCCAGTAGTCTCAGAGAAATGTCGCGGACGGCGGAAGAACAAAAAAAATTTTATTCGATTTTTGAATTATATGTATCGTGAAACGTAAAATTTCAAATTTTGAGAAGGAGTCAATTTTTTTGGACGATAACAATGTTCATTATTGAAAATAGTATACAAAAAAAAAAACATTCATAATAAAAGTATTAGGTATTTTCTTACTTTAATCAATTAATAAAATAAAAAATGTAAAAATAATTAAGAATGATCTTATAATTTATACAATTATTTACAGTAAGATTTATTTGCAATTTTATGGGGGACTGGATGGATAAAAAATGATAAAGAGGCGGGATTTAAACGTAGAGAAGGTATTGGAACGACGGATGTAGGAAGGATTGGATGACTTGAAAGAGGAAGGATGCCAGGAAATTCCTGCGACGGTAGGAAGGATTAGCCACTTCAATTCTTTATGATAACGGAAAACAAAGGCATACCTTGAGATACCGAAGATGAATCGTACAAAACAATTTATCAAATATTTTTCGTTTGCTTCTAGACCCCCAGTGACGCCCCCTCCCCCATATACCGTACAGGAATAGTCAAAGTGGGGAAATTAAATGATTAGGAGCCAACGGGTTTCAAATGGAAATAGGTGACGGAGGCTATTAAGATGTTTTAAGGTAGATAAAGTACGGCTGGAGATATCGGATGCATGTTTTTTCCAGGAAAGGATTTGATCTAAGGTTTTTCCTAGGTTTCAAGATTAACAATAAGAAGGATGATCCCCCTACTTCCAAACTAAAGCCCTTTAATTGAGAAGTTTCTCTCTCCGAATTCATTCATATATGATTCTGTCACAGTTGTGTATGTAGTTCTTATATATTTACTCTTTCTCTACCAGTATCTTTAAGTCTTGAACTACTAGATAGTTCAAAACAGATCGTGGGATCAACTATGAACACTTCTTTTTGTGTTGCATTAAACGCTAAAATGTAAACGACCTTGCAGAGCCTTCTATATCTGGACAACAAACTTCGAGTAAATATGTAAAGTTGTTCATTTCTAGGAGTTCGGATGATTAAAGTTTATAATCTATTTAGTTTTTTATCTGTCTTAGGTAGCCAAACTGGGAGGAAACATTTGGAGAAAAATGTCGTCTGAAGAGAAGCTGAAGTATGAAAAGAAAGCAAGGCGGGGAACGAATCGAAGATGCAGGAACAGATAAAGAGTTGCACACCACAAAGCATCGTTAATGTCCCCAACAGTCAATAAATTTATGTGAATTTTAAGTCTTGTACTTTTCAACGTTTCATTTCAATATTATTGTATAGAATCAAAAATTAAATACTCTAGATAAGATAAGTTATATAGGGGAAATACGTGTAACTCGAGTCACGATATACTTTCGGCCAACCTAAGAAATAAAAATTGCACCGGGGAAAACTCAGGTTTTGTCGCAAAAATGAGTAGGCTTGTACTGCCAGAACACTTATAGATGCCAGCTCAGATTATTATAGATTATTTACTGACTGCAAGTATAATATATTGCGGGCTTTCAACAGATGACATGAAAAATTTAGCTTATGAGTGTGGAAATTTAGCGTAAGTGATACTTATTATTGAATAATAATTATAATTCCTATTACAACAAATATTACCAAAGATACAATTCTTAGCCTAAGGTATAAGTAGTTGCCCAAGAAACATTATAGAGTGCCCCAAGAGACAACTATAGTAATTGTACCTTGAGTCATTTTTTATTTAAAAATTGATTTTGTTTCATAGTCAAAGTCTAGAGATAAAATAATTTAAAAATTAACATAGCATCTTCGAAAAGCATTACAAATAAAATTCTATTTTGAACTTCTTAAAAACCATTATTAATTTAGAAGTTATAGAGCATGGAAAAAAAGTGACCTAAGGAAAATGTATTTCCCCTACATGAGAGCGAGTTTGATCTATTGTTCTTTGGAAATAGCTCAATTTGGAACGTGCTCATTTATAGTATATAATATCGGAAATTTATCGTTTCGCGCAGTTTAGAGACGAATCCGATACCATCGATGAGCACAGCGCTGGGTTTAGAAGCCTGCTCTATTCATTATGTTCTTTTTCAGTCCATTAAAATTTAGATTGGTCATTGTATTCCAACTATTGAACATTGGTACTTATTGTTCCAAGTTACAAATTCATTCAATTATGGAATACTAATATAGTAATATCAGTATATCAAAATATTATTAAAATAGTATATTATTTTACGAAATACATGTTTTTTTTAAAATACTATTAATATATTCATTTAACTTATATGGAAATATTTTCAATGCTCAATGAGTTAAATAAAATAAAACCATAGAATAAATTGTATATACAAATGAGTAAAATAATACACAAATTCACTAATAACAGTGTAAAGTTGAATCACTATCTGAATTCTGGAGTAAAAACATAAAACGTTAACTAATAATTGACACTTGCTTACCATGGATTGGTAAAAAGTAGTTTCATTCACTATTATAAAATAAGCAATATTTATTAAATTTATGTTTCGTTGATATATTTACTTGCACAAATATTTATTCTCTTTCAACCAAAATTTGTCAATACATAAATGAGCTATTAAGCTAATAACCACTGATATTTGCCTAAAATAAACCTGTATCATCGCTAAAATAAAGGTAGTATGATAATTCAGTATAAATATTACCACGCTTTTAATATATTTAATCATGCATAGTGAACTACATCTATTGTTCTTTTTTATTTAAATGCAAAAAAAAAATTTGTTACACCGATATGTAAATTATTGTATTGTAAAGTAGAAACATAATAGTAGCCTCATAACAAGGAACGATATCCGGTCATTTTTAACAAGTCGAGAAAAAAAAAAACAATTTTCATACCATAATTATTTTAAATTAAATATTTAAATTCAAACCAATTCTGATGATTTTCTTTTTTAAGGTTCAACTTAGACATTCTTAAATAAAATCATCAGAAACAGTTTGTGTTGAACCTATAAAAAATAAATTGGCTTTTCCTCTATTTTTTGTAAATCTCAGATGTTCAACTTCGATATAAAGCAACTGTTATAATAGCACATAAATTAATATTACAAAAACGAAATAAAAAAATTAATTTTCTGGAAGATGATAATTTTAATAATTTTTCTTTGAAAGTCATGCAATATTAACTAGAACCTTTTTTTTTTTATACTGGCAGATGAATTTAAAAAAATTAATGAACAACAAATCTTAAATTAAAAAAAAATTAATTTTAAAATTTTTGTTTTTGTCAATTGCATGCTATGTTGTCGGTTATAAACTAGGACTGAAATTATTTTAATACAGGTTTTATCAATGAACTGTAAGTGTTCTAAAGGATATCAAACTGAAAAAAAATTATAATTCGTTGTTTTTTTTTTTTTCAAATTATAGTTTGTTAATTATGTCCATTTTTTTTTTTTTTTTTACAGGACAGGTACCATTGTTAATATTTAAAAAATTGTTTAAAAGACAGAAAAATTTAAAATAAAAAATCTTTTTATTTTTTAAATTCGTGCTATTTTACCCGAGGTAGTCTCGCGAGGCGATGCTCTCCCAGGACATGCCGTCGGGCTGGCTGGCCGCGTACTGAGCTAGCGCGCAGCTCGGGGCGCGGTGGCCACCTACAAACCTCGGGTCAAGGCCGCCTAAATTATTTATTTATTTATAAGCTTATATATATTATATTTATTTATTATTTTACTAAATGAGCTTCGCGTTTTCTTCCTCGTTCTGATTATACATTCGGTGAATCGAAAAACATCATTTTTACTATATATATATATATATATATGTATATGTGACAGACTGAAAAGAGAGTGGCTCTTCCCCTCCATTCGAAGACAATATTTCCTAGGTACATTCCTCTATCACATCATCAACAATCATCGCCCTTCCTACGCCTACAACCTTCTCCAATTCAAGTCCTCAGTCTACTCCCTCTCCACAAGATCTCGACCTTCCGACCTTTTCATTCCTTCTCACAGATCTGTCTCGTTCCAAAACTCCTTTATTGCTCGCTCTGTTAATTTTTAGAATTCCCTTCCTATCAAAATCCGACATTCTTTATCCCTATATACATTCAAAACCCTCCTATTCCAATTCCTGTTCCGAAAACAGTCAGATACCAGCTAACCTTTTATGTAAAATTACATATTATTTATAATAATATATTCACATATAGCTCATAACTTAAACAATTATAGATTCGACTTTCTTTTTTTTTTTATTTTTTTTTTTTATTCAACATAAACACCGATTTTACTGTTAAGAAGAATATACATTTATTTTTTCTTTTGTATTTTTTATTTTTTCTAAAAGGGTTTATTTATATTTTATCATTGTACATAGTTTTAAGTATCTTAGTATGGTCTCGAGAGTTTTGTATATAGATTATTTTATTTTATTTTGTATATAGTATGTATAACTAATATTTTTTTTTACTGATTTATCCTTATCTTTACTTTTTATGTATATATATATATTTATTTATGAATGAAAAGTATTGTGATGGAGAAAATTTTCGAATCCGAGGTTCCCAAATTTGAGGTCCCCTGAACAAGAGCACTTGATTGTTGCAAGGGCAAAAAGTATATAAAAATGTTTTTTTGTGAATAAAAATTAAGGCAAAATAGTTACTAATACTTGATAATTGTAGTCACTATATGTAAAAATTGGTATAAGCAATATACTTTGGCATTTAAATCTTAATAACTGCCGAGGCGCTCCAGCAAATGCCCAGGAAAGAATTAGTGTTTCTTACAACAATATGCAACTGTATCCTGAGGACAACTAAATTCCCACTGCAATGGAAATAGTCACACATCAAAATGATACACAAAAAGGACAAAAACATTTTCAATCCCTCATCCCACCGACCGATAAGTCTTCTTCCGATATGTTCTAAACATTTCGAAAAATTAATATACAAAACATTCGTTGACGTACTGACGGAGCAAAATATAATTCCAGACCATCAGTTCGGTTTTCGTATGTTCCATTCAATAACACAACAATTACACAGAGTTACTGACTACATTGCTGCAGCACTAGAGCAAAAACAATAAGCAACCGGTGTGTTTCTGGATTGCCCTGGGATTCGATAAAGTCTGCCACCAGGGACTTCTCTTTAAACTGAAGACACTACTACCTCATACATATTATCTCATTCTGCAATCTTTCCTTTTCGACAGATTCTTCTCTGTCCGACAAGGCCTATTTCCTCAATTCGACCAGCAGGAGTACCTCAAGGATCAATACTGGCTCCTTTACTCTACATTATCTATACGCATGACATACCTGTCAACTCCGAAACATTGACCACCACCTACGCTGATGACACAACAATTTTAACAAAAGACAATAACTATAACCAGACTAGCCTCAATAAATTTTAAAAAATCGTTTACTGACTTTACAAAATTGGTACTCCCTTTGGAAAATAAGATTAAATCATGACAAGACACAACATATAACATTTTCACCTCAAACTACACGGACACACAAACATATTTATAACCGACATGGCTACGACTGACATGCCCATGAGGAGGAGATTAAAAAGGAGCTGGATGAGAGATCCCGTCCCCTAAATCAAAAAAATAAATAATGACCAGGAAGAGGTGCTGCTGGGTACTATCCTTCCTCATGCCGTTAATGCCCCTCCTCATTATCACAACACATCTGCTGATTGTCAATACCATGACAAGTGTGGATAAATAGTTAAAGAGAAAAAAAAAATCTTCCTATTTTTCATTCGGGCTTAGTTAGGTATTCCCTATGTGAAAAATTACTGTCATAGATAATAGATTAATAGGTAACTGCAAGACTGTTGCGAGACAAGAACAAGACCAAGACTCGTCTTATAATATGAGAAATGATTAAATTTAAATTATAAAAGAATTTGATAATGAACTAAATTAGAAATAAGGAATCATAATTGAAAACCGTGGAAGCCCGAACGTGCATCGAGCTTGGCGAGAAGGTTAGAATAGATTTCCATACGTAACACGTGCTCAGTAAAATATGCCTTCCGATGAGATTATTATAAAATATATATATATTTGTGGTTTTCATAAATTCTAGCGTTGATATTATTTAATATTTAATTGTATAGATAACAGAAGTATAAATGTTAAATTTTGTACAAAATTTGTATATATAGCAAAGCTTAAACAAATAAACATATCTATAATGAAATATTAATAAATATAGTGGCCTTCTAAATCAGTGGCACTCTTGTCGAACAAT